CTAAGCATACACGCTCGTCGATTAAGGGTACTCCTAATCTGGCCCATTTTTAATATATCGCCTATTTGATCGCTAAACCTTCGTCTAGGGCGTCCCTTCCCGATCCCGCCATTCACTTCTGCAACATAAATTTGCTTTGTCACTCTTTCCCCGTTCATTCTTTCTACATGACCAAACCACCGAAGTATTACTTTCTTAATCCTTGTCACAACGTCATCTTGCAAACCACACTTTTCTCTTATCACACTATTTCTCACCCTGTTATTCAGATTCAGCCCTAGCATACTCCTTAACACGTTCATTGCCAAAGCTAAAATTGAAGTTTTCTGCTGGTGGCCCAAAACTTTTTTTTTATGAAATAACTCTTAAGTACAGCAAATACTATTTGCGGGTGTGTTTATGGTTTTAGTATATATATTTAATATTTTATATAATATAGTTATATATCACTCGACGTCGCGTGATGGGCCATGTGGAGTGTACATTTATCCTTAGGGGCCCCATCACGCGACGTCGAGTTTTGGGATACCTTAGCACTTTTGTGCAATTATGAGTTCAAATGTATAAAATTAAATATTTTTAGTATCAATAATTTTTATTTGAATTATATAACACAAAAAATAACAAAATATCAAAGAAACATGCAACATAAAAAAAATCTTCTAAATATTTTAGACACCGAAGTCTACAATTATAATGAACAGCAAATTTAGGAAAAACTGGCAAACATGTGGAAATTTAAAATCAAGCCATCCGGTTTTGCGAGCACGTATAGTTTGATGCCATACTTGTGGCGTTTTCCTTTGATGTATTGTCGGAAAAATAGGCGGCCACGCCATAAATCCATCGACTCGTCTAAAGATATGTTCTGGCCTGGATAATATATATTATTCATTGTATTATTGAAATTGTCGACTATTTTTTGACATTTATTTAGACGCCTAGCTGTGGCGTCTTCTTCTTCATCAGGGAGAGTAAAATGTATACAACGTAAAATAATAAAAAATCTGTTTCTTGACATGTATTTCGAAAAGCATGATTTATATAACCAGTGACCCTTCCAATAATCTGTCAATCGGTTCATTTTTGCAGTGCCAGTATGTAACAGAAGGCCCAGAAATGTTTTGAACTCTTCAACGGTCAACTCTTTCCATCTTGAAATACGTGCATGACGATGTTCACTGGAGCTTTTCATACGTTCGGCGTATCTGTTTGTGCACTCCACGATCATTCTCAAATATTCTTCATTGAAAAATAAACAAAAATAATCTATTGGATGTGATGGCGGTTCTACATACAGCTTTGACTCTCGAACGAATAGTATTTGTTTCATAGACGAGCAAGAAGTACTCCAGTGTGAGGTTGATCCTTCGGTGGCAGGTTCAGGAGACTCATGTGGCATAGCTGACTCTTCAATCGTTTCATTCAACTCCTCCCTTTCTGCAGATGAAAATCGAATTTCACTAGGTGGTAGCGGTGATATAACTCCTTCTTCATCTTCTTCCGACTTCCGAGGGTTGAGCTGTCTCCATCATCATCACCCAATAAAAATCTTCGTCTTCATCACTTCCCACAAAATCATCCTCTTCAGAGTTTCCTAAAGCTTCAAGGATATCCGATTCGTGCAACAAAACACGTTTTGATTGCGCTCGCAAAGGTATCTCGTTTGATCGTTTCGTACACCTAGAGGTACCAGGTTGATGATCACTCATTATAAATTTTGCTTTATTATAATTATTATCACTTTATACTACAAAAAATACGTATTATTTGTTCACAACTAACTAAAAACAAACAAGATTGCCGTCCGGCTCGAGCGGCGACGCTAAGCGAACTAACCAATTACGTAGCACAAAAACTATCGCATGATTCGGATGGCCACGCCCACTTTACGATAGCTCAGTCGTTACTCTAGGGGCCCATAAAAAACACCGTTGCGATAACGCTCCGGCCCAGGCGATACGCTTCATACAAAACTCGTCGGACTCTTCACGCGACGTCGCGTGAAGGGCCAAATTGAAGAGTACTGGGAACACGCGACGTCGCGTGATTGGCAATTAACGTGTTAAGGACCGCATTTCTACAGCATTTATTCTACTCTCATGCTTCTTCTGCCAGACCCAACTTTCACTACCATACATTAAAGTAGGGACTAACACAGCATTATGAATTGCCATACGTGCCTTATTTGACACATTCTGACTCCTCATAATAGCGTCTAGAGCCCCATTCACTACATTTCCTGCGTTCACTCGTCATTCTATATCCTTGTCATATCTACCATCCCTGCTAAATAAACATCCCAAATATACAAAGTCATCCCCTTGCTCAATCAACTCCCCTTCTATTCTTATTTCACATAACGTTTTACTATCTTCTTTTTCAAAAACCATCACTTTCGTCTTACTTGCGTTCACTTTCATATTGAAAGAAAGGGGTTATTTCAATGACCAGTTCATTAAAGTAGCCATAATTTGAAACTCGGCCGCCGACGATGCAAATATGACTTGATCATAGGCGTACAAAAGGCATTTGACGGTTAACTTACCCATTCTCAACCCACATTCTTCAACTTTCAAAGTTTGCAAACAACTGTCCATAAATAGGTTTAACAGCCACGGGGAAACTACACATCCCTGACACCTTTATGAATGCCAAACCAGTCCGAGTAGACCCCGTTGATCCTGACACAAGCACTAGAGTCCCTATAAAGAGACCTTAATACCTGTATCAAGCCCGCGCTCAACCCAAATGAGTTCAGTTGCCATAACATATTCCTGTCCACTCTGTCATAAGCCTTTTCCAAGTCCATGAACGCACAAAAAACTTTCTGGTTTTTGGCCAAAAACTTCTCCGCAATCATGCGCATGGAAAAGACTTGATCCTTACACCCCATCCCCTTTCTAAATACAGCTTGCACATCCCAAATTTTTCCATCAGTTTCTTCTATAACTCTTTCAATTAACACCTTAGCATACAGTTTACCCACAATGCTAAGCAAGCTGATACCACGGTAGTTTTTACAGTCCTGGTGCGAGCCCTTTCCCTTATATATTGGGACTATAACGGCTTTGCACCAGTCTTCCGGTACCGCTTCAGTACCCAACATAAATTAAACAAGGTGCACAGCAGGCCTGCAACCACACCCTCTCCAGCCCTTAGCATTTCGAGTGATATTCTATGATATCCGGCTGCCTTACCTGCTTTCATGCTTTTCATTGCTTTCATTATTTCATCTACACTTATCCTTATCTCCCTACCTCTCTCCACTTCTTCCGGAATTTCTATTTCACTTACTTCAGATGACTCTTCACTCTTAAACACGCTTTCAAAGTATTCCTTTCAACTCTTTAAATTCAAAACTTCATCATTCAGCATGCAGCCATTCTGGTCTCGTATAGCATTAATTCTAGGCTGTTTTGAATTTCCCCTGGCAGTTCTTACGAGCTTCCAGAACATTTTAATATTTGCCTGGAAGTTATCCTTCTATCATTCTTATCTATCCTTTCTTGCTTTTTCCTTTCAACAACTTCTTTTACTCTCTTATTATTATATACGTCTAAAGTCTGCCTTTTTTCTTTCAATCTCATCATTCATGCCGCCAGAATTACCAGCTTTGGTTGCTTGTAAATCTAGCCATGCTCTCTTCTTTGCTTCAACTTCCATCCGTACCTCATCATCCCACCACAACGCATTACTTTTCCTTTCATTCGTTCTCTTACTTACACCACATACTTCGGTGACTGCAACCACCGAAACTTTCTTAATATTATTCCATATATTCTTCAAGTCTAAATCATTCATACATAATTCAGTCCACCCACTTATATTTTCCCTCAATCTGCATTTTTATTTCTCTTTCACACCTTCATCTTGTAACCTCTCTATTCTTATACGCTGTAACGCAGTGGTAGACACAAATGTCCGATGCCGCCAACGTCTGAATAGACCATTAATTCGGCATAAGACCAAGTAATGATCCGTCCCTACGTTGGACCCCCGGTAAACCCTTGTATCTGCGCTCTTCATTCTTTCATCCACAATTATGAAATCTATCATGCTTCTATCATCCCCTTTTTCCCATGTATACATGTGAATTCTTTTATGGTGAAAGAAAGTGTTCGCCACAAAAAGATTCTTTTCCACACATACGGTGAGGAGGTCTCCACCATCTCACCAAAGATCAGTAAGCGGTATACATGCCATGTGCAGTGACATCTCTTCCCTTTCGTTTCGTCTCGTTTACACATAAAACATCTATTCCTCTATGATTCATCATTTCGAATACTTCATCCATCTTATCATTCATTGCTTCACACACATTCAGCGTAGCCAGACGGGCCTCCGCAATCCACTGATTATAAAACTGTGAAAAATATTCTTTAAATTTGCATTTGTAAAATCAGATAGATTCTGCAATACTGTAACACTGAAGGAAATTGAAATACTTTTTACGAGCTACTAAAATTAAACTATAGAGTCCACGCTTGCACGGAATACGAGCATACAGTCCATCTAATCAGTGACTGATGTGACCATAGACATCCACATCTATCCTCTTTTAAAAGTAAACCCCTGAGTACAAAGATGGAATGCCTCATTTCCAGTGAAAATGGTCTCCGGTTCTCTAGACTCACCACACGAAATACAGCAGTGCACTAAGCTGCAATTTTACGCTGGTATTCTGTGAGAGCGTGGTCATACAACGGTCGAGCCAACCCATTCCTGCCACAACCATAATTTAACTGCGGCGTGACTCCACCACGTATAAAGCCTCGTTTCCAGTAAAAATGGTCTCGTTTGACATCCTTGTTCTTAAGAAAAGTCGCGCTGATATTTTCCTTCCCCGGTCTAGCCGACCTATTTGAACTGCAGTCATAATATTATAATACATTACAATATGACTCGAAAATCTCTATCCAGATAAAAAACACCATAAAATAAACGATACCTTACACCAGTCGTGATATTTTTGTTAAAATCTAGTTCTTTCTTCACAGACCCTCAAGCGGATGCCGGCCTTCAGAAGACGCCGCGTGGAGTGGAGGAGTAGCAGGATCCCCGGGAACTGGTGGAGTGGGGGGTGTTGGCGGTCCTGGGGGAGTTAGTGGTGGGGGTGCTGTTAACGGAGCGGGGGGTGCTCGTGCGCTGCGAGTGCGCGTATCCGGGGGTGCAGCGCCCGCGCATGCGAGACGTCTATCCCCACCCCCATCAGCACACCGCGCTACTACACCCCCACCACCTGCAGACCCACCTAATAAACGTAAGTACAATAAACTATCGCGATAAGAAATTAATTACTCCATATCATCCGATGGTTGTCTTAAGGTCGCGGAATTTCTATTAGAATTTTTGAAGAGTAAAACATTAAAATCGCGATTAAAAAAACAGGGGTTGACTGTACTCGTAGAAGGGTGAAAATTTGAAGTTTTATGTATTTTTCAATGCTAAACCATAATAAAATAAATATTAAATAAAAAAAATTGTCAAAAAAATATAAATAAAATATTTAGGGGTGGGTCACCCTTATCATTTAGGGGTTTGAAAAATAGATGCTGGCCGATTTTCAGACCTACCCGATATGCATACAAAATTTCATACAAATCGGTTGAGCCGTTTCGGAGGAGTTTGGTATTGGTAACAAACACCGCGACACGAGAATTTTATATATTAGACATATTTATAAGAAGTTCTTATTATATATATATATATATATTTTTTTTTAGGATATGGTGAGACAAACGAACACAATCCACCTGGTGGTAAATTGAAGCTGCGGTCCATAGACATTTATCCTCAATTAAGAATCAATTTTGAATACCAGCGTAAAATGGCAGCTGGCCACTGCTGTGTTTCGTATGGTGAGTGTAGAGAACCGGTGACCCATTTTACTGGAAAAGAGGCATTCCATCTTAATCCTCACGGGTGACGACGCATCTGCATTTTGATTCTTTATTGAGGATAAATATAGATGTCTGGATCACAGCAACCACTTACCATCAGGTGGGCTGTGTGCTCGTTTGTCACCCTATCCTATGAAAAAAAAATCAAAGTGCAGAAGTGTTTTCATCCCTGAGTACTTACTTAGATGGAATACTTCGTTTCTAATAAAAAGGGTTTCCCTTTTCACTCAGCATACGAAACACAGAAGCATTAAGCTGATATATTACGCTGATGTTCTGTGAGAGCGTAGTCATTACCCGGTCGAGCCGACCCATTCGTGCTACAAACATAATATAACTGCAGCTTGGCTCTACCAGGTTATTATTATAGTGATTTAAATAGAAGAAAGCAAATAGCACCAGCTGTTCAAATTATGACTACACAAACGTTAATACCAGCTTAAATTAAATGTAAAGGAATAATTTAAGACACGCAACCGGTCCACACAAATGACTGCTCTCGAAAATCCAGAACAATGATCTGTCTGGAGAACCGCTAGTTCATTACGAGCACTATGTAGGTCCTTCTTATTTATGGCATTAAAATATAGCGGCTCAACGGCTACATTTCCAATGCGAGCAATTTTGCACGCGATCCGAAAGCCACAGACCGTTTTCGTAACATGACTCCGATTACCTGCTACAGTGTTTTGTTTAACGAACGTTTAGTTTGGAATGTCGCCGCTGGGGAGCGTAATGACTTAATTATTTTATTTGTTTTTCTTCTTATGACATGTATACCTCTATAAATAGTGGGAGGCAATTCAGAAAAATGATGATAATATAACACAAGTGGTAAAATTAAAGATTTTGTACAACCGACTTCAATACAAATAAAATGAGAACATCATCAATATAGCTGAAATCAATTAAATACGCATTATTAAAGATAACTCAAAAAGTACTAGTCAAATCTTGATCTAATTTATACGGGACCACATGAAAAGCACCAGCTTTCAAATGAAAAAAGAATCATCAAAATCAGATCACCTATAAAAAAAGTTCTGTGGTAACACACATAAAAAAATACAGTCGAATTTAGTACCTTCTCTCTTTTTGAAGTCGGTTAAAAATCGAGTGATACAGTTTAGTGTTGCAGCTACATATCTGTCATCTACATTCAAAATTTAATTACATCACTCGTTACCTAATGGATCAAATAATACGTCATGTTAGTGACGACTGTGATGGGGCAGCGCCGCCATTTTTAGGTCATTTTGTTACGTACACGGCACAGCCACACTGATTTTTTAAAACGTTACCTCCACTAGGATTGTCTCCTGTATCGTGGGGGACAGCTTACTTACATAAATATCGTAAGGACAAACATCCAGTCCCGGAACAATTATTTGTAGGCCATACAAATACTTGTTCCGCGCGGAATTCGTACCTGCGGCCCTTAGCGCTGCAAGTCATTGTCAAACTACAGCGTCAAGGAGCCTTCATAGATTATGTTATTGTATTAAAATATTCAAAACATAAAGGAGCAACAACAATAGGCACATTCTTGAAAATAATTCTCAAACGGTATAAAGGGTCGGCAGAGAATGCCGGCAGGCATTAAGTCGGTCCTTTGTTACCGTATTTATAAACATGATTACAATAAAGTTTAAACAAATAAATAAATATACACGTCCCAGTGCTGGCAAATATAAACTTCAGGGCGTATTCGCTGAATGTTCTTGAAATATTAATACAGTGGATTTCATTTATTACGACCTTAGTTGTAGCGACCATTTGCCTATAGCGACGTTAAATCTAAGTCCGTTGAATTTAAAGAATATTTTCAAATTCATGTGGCTATGGCAACTTCGGATGTAACGCCGGGTTTGGGTGTAGCGACTGTTTTAATGAATCATTTGTAACAAATTCCTAGAAATCAAATGCAGATATTGCGACCGAAGTCGGCCGCCAAAGACACAAAGATTTCTTTCTTTCAAAAACATTTCTTATCTTTTGTTTACATCTACACAGATGGTCACTAGGTATGGAGACCTTTACCTTTTGTTTATAGATATCACCTAAGTAGGTAGGGAAGCGTGTAAGTTTCGGAGTTAAATATATGGTTCAGTTACAAAGTGATATTCTGAGTAGCAACTGTAATGTATTGATTTTCTTACCTTTGCCTGTAACGACTTCCGGTTATAACGACGAAAATAGAGTGGTCCCTTAATCGTCGTTATACCCGAAATCAACTGTATTTTATTCTACAGATATAAGATTTCCTTTACGATGTTTTACTTCACCGCCGAGCACGGTGCAAATCAGCACTTCGATATGCAATTAGTAATTTCCATAGTGCCGGCGGCGATGTAACTAGCATTCATTGTATGCTATATATTTAAACTTTGAATAAAAAGTAAAACTGGCTTCTAAAAAATTCCACATAGTTCAACTACGTGTTCCGTGCTGGTTCGAATCCCACACGGAACAAGTGTTTGTATGGCCTACAAATAATTTCTCAGAGTTTTGATTTTTGTCCTTGTAAAATTTATGTATGTAAAATGCCTCGACAATATTGGAGGAAATCCTAGTGTGAGGGTAACGTAAAAGAATTACCAAATATATGTAAATAAAAAAAAACAATAATACAGTGCTACCTCGATATAACAAATCCGAAGGGAACAGGTAAATATTCGTTGTATCAAGTAGTTTCTAGATAAACTTAAATTGTAGTTTGTTTCTGAAGTAGGTGCTAAGACATACGAGTAAAGTTCGGACTTTGGAAGCTGCTATGTTGAAATTTTTTTCGATTTTTCTTTTTAGGGTTCCGTACCCAAAGGGTAACCAACGGGACCCTATTACTAAGCCTCCGCTGTCCGTCCGTCCATCCGTATGTCTGTCAACGGGCTGTATCTCATGACGCGCAATAGGTAGACAGTTAAAATTTTCACAGAGTGTGTATTTCTGTTGCTGCTATAACAACAAATAATAAAAATAAACATAAATTAGAAATTAAAGGGGGCGCCCCTACTAGAAACGTATTTTACGATGTTACAGAACCCTTCATGCGCGACTTCGACTCGGACTTGGTCGGTTCTTTATTATTATTACTATTAAAAGATTAAAAATGTTACCCTTTCAAGTGGTCTAAGAAATATCACAAATTAAATGTAACAACTAGAATGTCGTTTTAAATAGGTACATTAAAATATTCATCACCATTTTTTCCACCTTTAGGGATTTAAATTTTTCCGTTAATTTGTATGGGATCACCCCTAAACTATAAGGTATATAAATAAGAAAGAATTATTTAAGCCAATTTAGCCGTCTCCGAGAAATCGATGAACATACATAAAACAATATGAAAAACATACGCTTCGAATATACCTTCTCGTTTTTTGAACATGGTTAAAAATATACGCTGAGTGATTACTTACCCAACCTCTTTTATCTATACATATAATAAAACTGTAAATAGCAGATGTCTGTACATTTTATAATTTTGTAATAAAAGTGATTGAGGGGTACTAAAAATAAGTAATTAAATACATTTCTACCATTTTTAGAATTTTCTGTCTGTCTGTCTTTCTGTCTGTCTGTCTGTTTGTTTGTTAACGTATCACGTTTAAAGTACTAATTTATATCATAAGAATTGTTAAGGAAATTCTAAAGTGTACCTTCGGGTTACATTTAGTCTTTATTTCATTAAAATCGGTTCATTCCATCAAAAGTTATGATAAATATTCTGAAGTATGGGTAGGGAATTTGCTCAACGGTGGCTATGTTTGAGTCATTAAGTTGATGTTAGCAGCGCCATCTCTCTTTAATTAAATATATACATATAATAAAAATGATGATAACATGTTGTGTCTCTTTCTGTACATTGTATATATATTTTGGTGACTAAAATCATTATGGGGAACTAAAAATAATTAAATAAGTACATTTTTATAATTTTTAGAATTATCTGTCTGTCTGTTTGTCTGTTTTTATATGAAGGCATCACGTCTAAAGTAAACATCTTTTTTTTTCCAAAGAAATCGTTAAGAAAATCATAAAGCGTATCTTCAAGTTACATTTAATCTTTGTTTTATTAAAATTGGTTAATTCTATCGTAAGTAATGATTATTATTTTAAAATGTAGGTTCGAATTTGTTCAATGGCGCCATAAAAATCTCAGAAATAGTAATAAAAAGATTTGTGTGTAAAAAAAACGTTCCATAATAATTAATATATTTATACTTAAAACATAAAAAGAGATTTAAAAAAGGATGTTTTCTCACACAAAGGACGTAATAGATGGAGTTGTACAAATTACAAACTTTTCTGATTTGCTGTGTTGAGATTTTTCTCCGTGAATCGTATTGAGACTTACTGA